ACCCCCATCAAACTCCTTTCAAGCCGTACCCGGGAATTCTAGCCATACCCGTGAACATCTGGCCACCTATCTGCCGAATGGTGTCGTACAAATCGCGAGATTACTTCGCTCGGCCGGCTCGAACTCTGCAGACCGCTTCTCGGGCCGAACGAAGTGTTCTCAAGATTTTTTTTCCAAATAGAGTTTGTATGAATTCTTATATGGAAAAAAATGAATTCTTATATTTAAAAAATGATTCTTATATGGAAAAAAAGAACATGGTATCTCATTTTTTCCAAATAGAGTTTGAAGGAATTCTTATATGGAAAAAATGAAATAAGGCCATGTTATCTAATTTTTTCCATATAGAGTTTGAAGAAATTCTTATATAGAAAAAAATGAGATGTTATGGACATGTTATCTCATTTTTTTCCAAATAGAGAGTGTATTGAATTGTTATATGGAAAAAATGAGACAAGGACATGTTATCTCATTTTTTTCCAAATAGAGATTGTATGTGGTAAAAAATTGACACAACCTTTCAAAAACTACTTATCACAACCCTTAAAATGAAAATACGTACTAAATAAACGTGATAAATAACCAAGTCTGTATTATCCTAAGGTACAGGTAACAAAAAAGAATATATATTGTGTTACATATAGATATATTGATAATATCAGAAATGTCCAGTCTTACTATCATTTCTTGGGGTTGCGGAACAGGGAGATATTCAGTGTACCATTTGGTGTCGGAACATAGCCATAATTGCGTCGAAACAAATGTGCATCAAATTCAACCAGACTTGTCTCTTTTCCTGATGAGATTAGACCCATCTTCACTATAGTAAGGTTTTCCATAACCGTTACTAAATAATGCACACGGCAAGAACAGCAGTTCTCCGATTTGTTCTTATGTCCCTCTTGAGTCTCGGTCGTTGTTGTTTAATTCACGAACTTCGGGCCTCTAAAATACTCATTCTATTAGAAACATTACTAAATACATAGTTTAAGTGGTATTTCTAGAAAAGTATCAAATTAAAGAACTGTAATAATCTCGTCATTTAAAATTAGCCATTAGCTAACATTTGCATAAACTGATTGATATTAAAAGGAAATACCTTTAGATTCCAGTAGAATCCGTCTTGTTCCCTGGCTTTGGATGAACGGACAAAACGAAGGACTTGTTGAAGTTCGACCGGCCGACAGTTGGACTTGGGGCGGAGTCTGTGGTGAACACTTCGACCTAAGGGACGCAGACGTTGTTTGCAGGATGCTGGGCTATATCTGGGCAAACCGCTTTTACTCATTAAGATCACGTACGTCTACGACTCGTCTTCTGTTGTCTCACGTAACTACTTTCTTTGCGTATTCGCATTCGACTCATTTAAGCCCTTTTTGTCTGTTTCTATGATAACTACATTGTTTCTATGATAACTACATTTTTAATCTTTCAAATATTGTTTTTTAGACGGGCTGGCCTACATGGCTGACATACGATGTGATGGGAACGAGACTAGCCTGTTCAAATGCTCGTACGCAGGATGGGGGATTCACGACTGTGCCATATATGCCAGCGTTGTCTGCGGTACATTGATAAAGTATTTATTATAAATACCAATGCTTAGATTGGATAAAATGAAACAATAAAACAACAAATTGAAACACAAAAATGTCCGATGCACGCTAACTTTTAACATTTGTCTTACTTGCCTTGCGCCCTCCTCTTCTAAGTACAGCTAGAGATAAAAGACTGACCTACAAGTGGGCTTTAATCAAGGAACTTTCATATTGAATATTCTAATTGAAATAAAGATGATTTAACCCCCTTTGTCCTTTCAAGACCACTGCCCGCCAAACTACAAATGAATATGTATAGTCGACTGCGAAGATTTAAAACCTCACGTTTTATTTGTACATGATTTATAACCCATACTACGTTGCAAGTTCTTACCTCAATTTCCACCATGTATATACGTGTATATGTTTGATAATATATTTAGATACCAGCAGAATCCGTCTAATCGGTGGTTCCGGCCCGAACGAAGGACGTGTGGAAGTCCGCCCAGAGGACAGTGTGAACTGGGGCACAGTTTGCCACAACCAGTTTGACATGAAGGATGCAGACGTGATTTGTAGAATGCTGGGTTATCCAAACGCTACCCAGGTTCGAAATGACGCGTATTTTGGCCAAGGTAAGATCTCCATTTTGTTGGTTAAGTTGATCTTTTTAAATATTATATCTTTAAGATTGATTT